TTTGCATTTAAAACCACACAATGGATTTAAACCAAAAAAAAAATTCATTTATATTCTTGTTCTAAAATCTAAAACATGTGAATGCATAAAGTTGATTTGTTGAGTTGATTGGAGTTGATTGGAGTTGATTGGAGTTGATTGGAGTTGATTGGAGTTGTTGTTGAGTTGTTGTTGAGTTGTTGTTGAGTTGATGTTGAGTTGATTCACGAGAGTCCAGGACGGACACTGTTAATGCAAATTTATGAATATGCAAATTTGGGATGTATAAAGGAGTTGAATCAATGTGGATTTATAAAGGAATTGTACCGAAGTTGATCTTGACATACTCAAGTTATGTCAACATTGAATACTATTAATTATTTTCTTAACTTTGTAAAGCTTTCAGCCCATGGCTATTGTCATTGAAAGTTGACTCAAAAAAGTCGCGAAGTTGTCAAATTTCTAAAGATAGATTCATTTTTGACTTGATTAGAATCTAGAACCAAGCAGAAGGACTTATCGGACTCTCTAACGAGGTCCTTCTCCCCTATTGAGATCAGCTTGAACCAGCTGAGCTTTTTAGAATGATTCAGATCAACTCAACAATGATCAGTCTCTTTTTAAAAGACATTTTTCAGCAATATCTATATAGCTCTTCCCAGTAAAGGACATCATAACGCGAAAGGATCTCAAAAAGGTATTGCACTCGAAAAAGGACTTATCGGACTCTCTAACGAGGTCCTTCTCCCCTATTGAGATCCCATAAAAGGGGAGAATTTCCCAGTTCTCAGCTCAAGTTCTCACCCCTCTCCTTTATCCCGGACAAGCAATTCGACACCTTTCCCCTTCCCTTTACCCATTTCTCCTTTTGGCTACTTGGTCACTCATTACCCAAACCTTTCCCTTTCCCGATGGTCATAACTTGTTCAGGATCAGTTGTATTAGTCAAGAACTTCAGTCAGAGTTTGAAACTTTTTCTAACTTCATTGTAAATCTACTCAAAAACTAAACCTTTGCACTTGTAACTCTTTTTTTTCTCCCAACTAGTGGTTTCTGCTGAATTAGCGTAACCAATTAGGGCCTCGTGAATGGAGAGTGTGGAAATGAAATAAAAAAAAAACCTTTTAACCACCAGTTTTTGCTTTGAAAGTTGAATTGAAAGTTTTAAAAAAAGCTCATTGAATTCATTTTCGATTCATTTTCGAATTCTCTCAATTTTCTCATTGAAATGTCTCGTTGTTTTGGGATTCATTTTCTGGGGTCAGAATTGTACTGAATCTTAAAAGAAGTCTCAAATTTCGGGTGTTTTTTTTTGAAACGATTCATTTTCGAATTCTCTCAATTTTCTTTTGATGATTTTACATGTTGCTAGTGAAGAAAGGAAGATAAATTTTCATAAACTATCTTAAAATAAAATTTCCGGTCTTAAAAAAAAGCTTAACAAAAGGCATCAAAAGTTTTTTGAGGTCAACAATGACTCACTGAATATCTAAAGAGCTAAAGGTTAAGCTAAGGATTGAGCTAAGGATTGAGCTTTGGATTGAGCTAGAGATTGAGCTAAGGATTGAGCTAAGGATTGAGCTTTGGATTGAGCTAGAGATTGAGCTAAGGATTGAGCTAAGGATTGAGCTTTGGATTGAGCTAGAGATTGAGCTAAGGATTGAGCTTTGGATTGAGCTAGAGATTGAGCTAAGGATTGAGCTTTGGATTGAGCTAGAGATTGAGCTAAGGATTGAGCTAAGGGTTGAGCTAAAGATTTGATGATATGGTTATGTAAAAACTTTGAACTTTTGAAATAACATGAAACAATGGCATAGTTTTCTGATTTGATAGTGTTTTTACAATTTGTACCTTTATGTGCAAGATTTTTAAAATCAACTGTTCTTTAAGGACAATAATGACACACTGAACACTTCAAGGGTGGGCTAAAGAGCTAAGGATCTTGTAGATGGAGATTTTAGCTAAAGAAGAAGCTTCTTCTTGTGGTGTCCCTTGGGTGCTCTCCCGATTTCTCCCATGCACCCTCTCTTTCCAAGACTGAAGCTGGCCATCGATAGAAAAGCCAACTCTTCGATCTCTCCTCAGATATTTCTCTTCTTTTTCTCTTTCACATCTTTACTCAAAAGCTTTGTTTCTTTACTGCTTTGTTGCTTTTTACGTTTATTTGTGTTTTGCTCTCTCTCTCTCGATTCCATTTGTAGATTGACAACTCTGATATCGAGGCATGCATTCTAGGGCTTTGAATTCTTTTTCTAGAACTTTGAATTCTTTTTCGAATAGTAATGCTTTATTCAATTTAAAATTTAATCATTCTAAAGTCTTTCTAAATAATTTGTTTTTCTTTTTTTTAAGATTCATTATCTATAAAATCTTAAGAGCTCATTCAATTTATTAAAGAATTTTTCAATCTTAGTTCAACTATTTTTTTTGTTTTCTAGAACTTCAAAAGCCCAGTTAGTAAAAAATTTTGTTGAAAAGTGCTGAAATGGAGGATTTTTAGTGGAGGAAAAAAAGGCGAAAAGTGATTTATTTGAACACTTATTCGGCGCTTCTCGAGGAGAGATTTGTGGCCAAGAGATATCTGAAATAAGGAAAAGAGAAGATCGAGATAACAACCTCGAGCATTTCTTTGTCTTTCTTTTATCCAATTTTCCAGAAAAACTTGATCGTTTTATGTAAAGTGCTTGCTTTTTTTCTCTCAAAGAGCCAATTAGTCGAAAAAAAAAGCAAATTCTTTATTTCCTTTTGGAAGTACGCTTTTGAAGCAAGTTTAATAGAAATCAAAATTGAAGTTTAAACATTTTGTTAGACAATTTCAGAGCAATAATTAGAATTATATAATTTCGTTGATGTTCTGGAAGGGAAAAAGGTGAAGAGAAGAGTGTTCTTATCAATTTTTTAAGAAAAAAAGGAAGAGTAGGTGGGTTTGTAATAATCTTAACTTCAAAAATAGCATGATTAGCACATCATGAATCTTGCAAGAATTGCTAGTTGTAAGAATTGCTAGTTGTAAGAATTGCTAGTTGTAAGAATTGCTAGTTGTAAGAGTTGCTAGTTGTAAGAGTTGCTAGTTGTAAGAATTGCTAGTTGTAAGAATTGCTAGTTGCAAATTGCTCTTGCAAGAATTGCTCTAAATCTTTTCCTCAATACTTTAACACCTTTGTGTTCGGTGAACCCGGTTAGTTGGACTGACTTTACCGCTTATGCAAATTTCGTTGGTGTTCCGGGAGGGAGAAAGGTGAAAGAAAGAGTGCCCTTCCCCCCTTCTTCCCCCCTCTTCCCACCAAGTACCATTATGCTAATGTTTCCGTTCTTTCTCCTCCTTTTTCCCTCTCTTTTTTCCTCTATTACATATGCAAGACCGATAAAATATGACTCGTCTCGTTTAGATTATTCGATCAGCGAATATTTATCGCCTCACAAAAAGAAATCCTGATTGAAATCTGTATGAGATTCGATTTCGATCACATTCGGAAGCATTTTAGAAGCTTAATCTTGATCTTGACTGTCTTGACTATTGTTTGCTTACTCAAAAATCATCAAAACGAGCAAAATTCAGCTTTGAGTTATGTGTTTAGCTTCAACTTTGATGCTTTAATGGATTGAAAACAAAATGAACCTTTTTTTTCTGCAGTCAAACCTCATTTAAATGTTCCGATTGGATCAAGTTGACATTGAGTGAAATTTCGGTGTTCCGATGTTTTGTTTAATGAAATTTTTTAAACTAAATTCTCTAAAAAATAAAGAAAAAACTTTTCTCTCGTTCATTTACGGGGACTTTTATGTGGTTGACAGCTGGGAATGAGAAAAGAAAACAAAAAAAATAAGGGGAATTTCTGGATGAAATTCTACTCAAAAACAACGACCAATAGGGAAAATATGGGAAAAGTCTGAAATTGAGAGTCATGGATTTTAGAAATTTCGATTTTCAAGTCTAATTTTAAGAATGTTGTAAGTTGTGACTTTAAGTTAATCTCTTTTCCGATAGATTTCCGTTTTTACCTCATTGAAAACTCATTGAAATACATTCAAGCCTAACAATAAATTTGCTTAACTTTTAAATTTGATAACTAAACATTACTCTTGTTATTCTTATCTACTGTATATAAAAAAGGTGTGTCTGTCTGTCTGTGCGTACTACTCCTCTGCGCCCAGTGGGCCGTTTCAAATGATTTATAGTTAGCTTGGCATAGAATTTCATGTAGTTGTGCAAAATGTTTTAAAATTTACAAAAAACCAAAACTGCCGACACAGGTGGGAGTCGAATCCGGGACGTGTGAACTAGAGACAAGTGCGCTTGCACTGCGCCAGAGCATGCACTTGTAACTCTCTTTTTTTTCTCCCAACTAGTGGTTTCTGCTGAATTAGCGTAACCAATTAGGGCCTCGTGAATGGAGAGTGTGGAAATGAAATAAAAAAAACCTTCTAACCACCAGTTTTTGCTTTGAAAGTTGAATTGAAAGTTTTAAAAAAAGCTCATTGAAATGGTTAACGCTGGTTAACGCGTGCGTCTCTCAAACGAACGGAAGAGTGGTGTCACGGGTTCGCTTCCTCTCGCCGCCAATTCTTTTGCTTTTTGCTCCAAAAATTTTGCTGCCAAGCATCAGCTAAAAGTCCGTTTCCATACTCAAGCCTAGCCCCAGCTGATTGTTTTTTTCTGATCAACGACGAGTTGAGACAATTCGATTCAGAATCCAATTATCTTGTTTCCCTTTGCAAGATATTCCGAAAATCTTTCCCTTCTCTATTTCCTTTCAAATATTTCTTACTCTTTTGACTTCTTCAATGCTTTTTTTTCAATCTCCTTTGTTGCTTTTCCCTTGCTTTTCCCTCGCCAACACCCCGTTAACGTGATTTTTCCTCACTGACAATAAACGACTCGGCGCGATTTCCCTTTTCTGAAATTGAGCTTTTCTTCTCGAAAATTTTGACTGAATCTCTTGGATTTACGATTTTAAAAAGTAAAATTCAAGGTTTATTCTGGTTTTTATCCCTTATCGAACAGTTTTTCAGATAAAAAAATGCGAAAACGTCGATCAACTTTCTGTTTTCTCGTCACTTTAATATTTTTATTTATTTTGACTGTAAATGGTGAACAAAGGATAGCTGAGGGACCTGTTGAGACGACAGTTCTTGTCGGTGCAACTGTCGAATTGAGATGTCGAGTGGAAGATCAGGTAAAGGATTTAAGCTTTAAATTGTTGAAGATTTAAAAATCGAATTCCATTTTTTTAAGGCACTCTTTAACTCTCACTTTAGAAAGGAGCCGTTCAATGGACAAAGAACGATTTCGGTCTTGGAATCGACCGGGGACTCAAATTTTTCCCTCGATATCAAATGGTTGGAAAAGCGACAAAAGGAGAATACAATCTACAGGTTAATAACGCTTTTTTTGTCTCCCTTTGTCCCCATTTTGACAGTTTGACAGTTTTGGGGCTAATTCCATGCCCCACTCCTCTTAGACAGCTTTCTAAACACCCTCACCGCAGCCCGGTTAGCTCAGTCGGTAGAGCACCAGACTCTTAATCTGGCTGTCGCGGGTTCGAGCCCCGCATCGGGCTGATGTTTTTGTCTTTTTAGAAAAATTAACAAATCCCATGCCAACAACAAATTCTAACCTCAGCTTTTACAGATTGTTAATATAACGGTCGATGACGATGATGTGTATCGTTGCCAAATTGGCGAAGTTCAAAACGAAAGAACCGTCGTCTCAAATGCCGCCAAGCTTTCAGTTTTGAGTGAGTTTAGTGAAAATGGGCAAATGATAGTTAGAATTTTAGAAAAACCAACTTCCCCAACGCAGCTCAATAAACCAAAGGATTTGACGATTCCAGCGATTGCCGGTGATTTAATTCAAAGAAGTTGTGTGAGTAAAATGGTGAGTAAAACAAATAATCTAAATTATCGGGTTCTTAAAAGTCTAAATAGGTTGAAAAGTTCAATAAAACAAAAGCAAATAAACAACAAAATTTTAGGGTAAACCACCGGCAAAAATCGGTTGGGCAATCTCGTTCGATTCAGAAGGGAAAAACATTTTTTCGTGGTTAGGCGAATCACGCTCGAAACTGGGACACTTGATCAGTAAATTTTATCAAATTTTATATCAAACTACCATGTTTTTTAATGTGTTTAATATTTAAATCGAATATTTGCGTTTTCCGCAATTTCTAATTTTCAGAAAACAACGATTTATCACCAGAAACGGTGGCTGCAAACATTACGGACAATATTCAAAAAGATAATGGAGTGTTTAGTGTGATTTCGAATTTGAGGTGAAGCTAAAAAATCTGCTCACATATAATTCTAAAGTCGTTTTTGATCTAAATTTTAAATATTAGTTATGTACCCCGACCGGATGATGACAAGAAATATTTGTTGTGTTTGAGTCATCACGAGACTTTTGGTGAAAAGGTAGCTTTAAAGATTTTCACATTGATGTGCTTTGCAAAACAAAAAACTCTTAGATTGAACTTGATGGAGTGCGTCTTTCCCTTCAATATGCCCCTCGAGTCAACCTCACTGTGGCTGCTTCTCAGCAGAAAATTCGTGAGGGTGGAGGCGCCTTGTTGGCTTGTTCGGTTGATGCGAAACCGATAGATCAGCTTAAAATTCAATGGTTTCGAGAAGGTGTCCTGTTGAAGCATCAAGCTGATGTAAGTTCAAAAGTTTTTACCAACAATAAACTATGAAAAGGTCAAGGAATGAGTCAAGCTAGTTAGTCAAGTTAGTCAGTCGTCAAAGGATGCGTTGACGTTGCTTTAAAAGTGCATAAGAAAAGCTCATCTTAGAATTTGAATTGAATTAAAGAAGAAATTGCAGACACTGGCTTTTGAACTGCTCAAGATGGAAGATCATGGAGTTGAGTACAGCTGCGAGGCGATGAACAAAATTGGAAAGGGGAAAGCAAGCTTGAAGTTGAACGTCTCATGTAGGTTTTATAGTTTGAACTAGCCTAACAGCGGGTTTTTCTCGCTTGGTCTTGTCACCGTGGCGTAATCGGAAGCGCGCTTGTCTACGGCCCACACGAACCGGGTTTGACCCCCCGTAGTACCACACGCTTTAATTTTTAATTTTAAATGGTACAACTACAATCTATTCTAAGGTTTTCTAAAGAAGTTTTAGCTTTATTGGTCAAAAGAGGACCGAGAAAATTCCCATACAGATAAACAGACAACCACTGCTCTTTTATATACAGTCCAGACAACCACTGCTCTTTTATATACAGTCCAGACAACCACTGCTCTTTTATATACAGTCCAGACAACCACTGCTCTTTTATATACAGTCGAACCTCGTTAGTGAACACCTCGATAGTGAACTAACCTCAATTGTAACCATATTGTTTAGGATCCCTCTGAGTTGATTTAGTACTAATCAAACCTCGATAGTGAACAATTTTTTAGGATCCCTTCCACAGTTGACTAGCGAGGTTCGACTGTAGAATAAATTATCTGTAAGATGGGAACTTTGATTGGCAGAACATAGGTCAATCAATCAACCTTTTGAAGCCACCTCTGGGAGTTGACATGTCTCATTTGCATGTGTAAGAAAAAGCTCTTTTCTTGTCTTTTCCTTCATCTTTCATATTCCGATCATCCATCAACAATCTTTTGAATTTTGAGCAAAAAAATGAAGAATTTTTAAAGCAAAAATGGCCATTTTGTGCTTTGCTTCGAAAGCTTCATTTCATTACGCTATTTCTACGCTCATAGCACAAAATAGTATTTTATACTCCGAAATTTCAGGGTGATAGTTTATCGACTTAGACTTACTTAGACTAAACTTAAAATAACTTCATGCTAAATTAAAATAAATAACATAAATAATTTAATGATATAACTAAACTCTACTAAACTAAAAACTCTGCTAACGATTGAACGAGAATGAAAATTTTTCCTAAATTTTCTCCTTTTATACACTTTCCCCAAGCCTACGGTAGTTCATCCACCCTATAATCCAAAGACTCCAGCCCCAAACTCCAAACTAATCCAAAGACTCCAGCTCCAAACTCCAAACTAATCCAAAGACTCCAGCTCCAAACTCCAAACTAATCCAAAGACTCCAGCTCCAAACTCCAAACTAATCCAAACACTCCAGCTGAATACTTTGTTTGTTACAGAACAAAAATGGTGCATCCTGAAAGAGCATAAAATCAAGAATTTCTTTACAGTTGCCCCTCGAATCATCTCAAATCAACAAGAAAAAGAGGTGAATGTCGGAGAAGCAGCCACTTTTACTTGTGAAGCTCACGGAAATCCGAAACCTCAATTGTATTGGAGTAAAGCCGGTGATTCGCAAGTGATCGGGAAAGGGGAAAGGTGAGTTCTTTTGGGGGAAATAAACTTCATTTTACAGTGCTACAGTTCTTTTTTCTACATCTTTACAGTTCTATCATTTTACCGTTTTTTCCCAATGTTTTAAGGGTAAATGAATAACCAGTTTACACCAGTTTTTTCAATCTGAAAAGTTCAAAATAGCCAAATTCTCCAAAAATTGTAAACCATGTGCATCCTTTGTTTCAGCTTTACGATCGAAAATGTGCAAGTTTGGCAACAGGGTGAATACATTTGCACAGCGATTTCTGATGGATTCAAACAGGATAAAATCGCTAATTTCTTACATATTAGAGGTAAATCATTAAATGCCTTAAATCAAAAGAGATCGATTAATAATAAAATGAAAGCTATAAAATTTGACATTCAACTTTATTCACCTCAAATCTCAGGTCCTCCAACAATTACATTCGATCAGCCGGCAAGTGTGAATCTCGGTGATACGGTCGTGTTCAGTTGTAAGGTGAGTCTGATTTTAAAAGTGGATATTGAAAAATATTTATCTTTATCTTTATCATACTTATCATATTTCAAAGTACACTACTGGACAATGAAATATGATATTTGAAAAAAGATCGTCACTTTCGCGCGTCTGTAACTCCCTTGTCTTCACCGTATTTCTAAATATTAATATTACCATTGTGTAGCCCTTGAAAAGAGCTTTCAGAAAATGTATAACACTAACAGTTTAAACTCAAAGACAAGGAAGTTAGAGACGCGCGAAAGTGATGATCGCTTTTCAAATATGATATTTCATCGTCCAGTATTGTATATTTTTTTTCAGGTCCGAGGTAGGCCAAAACCTAAAGAAGTCGTTTGGTCTCGTGATGAAAATGATCTCAATTTTAACAATGGCAGAATGCAGGTACCCATTCAAAATCATACTCAATTCATTCTTAAATCCAAAAACTTGTATTCAGCTAATTTCAAATCCAATGATAACCATATCACTAAGTGATCAGGTTTTTGCAATTCAATTTTAATTAAACTTTTCAATCTTTTCTTATCATTCTTTCCGTTTCACTAACATTTTTTTTTATTTTATTTGCAAATTTATATATAATTTTTTGCTTTAGGTTCATCAAATGCCACATATTTATGGAGTGGAAAGTAAATTGACAATTCGGGATTTGCAAGAGGCAGATTTTGGAGTGTACAACTGTTCAGCGAATAATGGATTGGGAATGGATAGTCAAGGAATCGTTTTGCACAAGAAGAATATACTCGATTATGCGATGCAATTGTTGGGCAAGTGGATTTGATTGTTTAAGACCAAAGAAATTAATGAAGAAGTGAATGAAAAAGTGTTGTTAATGTAATCCTTTTTCAGACAGTGACGATCTCCTAATCATTGCCGCTGTTTCAGCTTCAGTTGTCTTCTTTTGCCTTTTCTTTTTGTGTTGTTGTGCGTGGAGAAAAAGAAGAAGATTTCAGACAAAAGGAAGCAAATTTACTGGTAAAATGAATGCAAAAAACAAAAACATTTCACTTTCTCAGCTTCGGAATCCGATGTGACAGTGAAATGTGAGGCACTCGATCCACCATTTTACTCAGAAATGTACGGAGGACCGATGGATGATGGGAATCTTTTGTTGTCAAAAGTTCGTTTTAGAAAATGAGTACCGATCGAATCAGTCAATAATCAGATCAATAATCAGATCAATAATCAGATCAACAATGAGATCAACAATGAGATCGAATCAATCAAAATGCCAATTTTTAGGACTACATTGCTGTACCACAAAACAATCCGGATCTCGATTTGTTAATGCCATCATCTTACGCTCTTTCTTCCTCGAATAATTGCCTTTATCCCAAATTTATGAATGGATCTACGATGGATTACAATTTTATGCCAAGCACGAGATATGATACGAGTTATGGATCATTCTCAGGTTGATTTTAGGGAAACATTATTCCATAGAGGTCTTTGTGCTTATATCATTCATTTCTATCTTCTAGTTCGTTCATTTCTTTCCAATAATGTGGTACGAACAGACAGGTGGTTCAACCCCTCTTTTAAATTCTAGGACATAACCTCTAGAACAGTGACGATCTCCTAATCATTGCCGCTGTTTCAGCTTCAGTTGTCTTCTTTTGAATGTCTTCTTATCTAGAACATTTCTAGGACATAGTTGTACCAATAACGTTTCAAATTATTTTATTCACACAAATAATGTGGTACGAACAATAAAAAAGCATAATCTCTAAACCCTAAATGTAGAGAAGAAAAATCCCCATTTATATCAAAGAAAGAATCATAATCTAACAGTGGGATTGAACCCTTGACCTCTTGATTAAGATAAGTCTAGCCTTAGCTCTTAGCCAGTCGGTCATGACAGCTTAGTTACAGGTGGTTCAACTCCGGCAGCTTTATCGGGTGGGGGACTCTCAGAACTGTATGGAGGAACTGATCGACTTCACGCTCCACTTGAGCCATTACCCGAGGTAAGAAATAATATTTATAATATTAATATTAATATTAAATAAGGAATAATATTAATATTAAATTGATAGATTTGCAACTAAATAAATGAAGTTACTTTTTTCAGGTTGACACTCCAAAAGTCTCGACCTACAGTTTCATGTGCCCTGAAAGGCCGTTGAGTCGAAGTTCGACTCATGTTTGAATAGAAAACTCGACTTTTACTCGAATTTTAACTCGAATTTTGCAATTTACAGATTGTTTTCTATGTTTTTCTATGTAAATCACTCTTTATATATTCAAAAAAAAAAACTCCTCCTGATCTTTCACGTCCACTTATAAAACGGTGCTCAACAAATTTGCATTTTACATTCATTTTTAAAACTCTCAAACTCTCAGTTTTATTTATTTCAACTTTATCTAATCAATCTTGAAATATCCGCTCTCAATTCGGGTCTCTTATTGCCAATTTTTTTGTGTTTTCGCAGTTTTCGCATTACATTACCAAAGTATTTTTAAGCTTTAATCATTTTTGATAATTTTACGATCTAGTCCATCAATTGAATGAATAAAATATTGAAATATTTGAATGAAAATGCAAAATGAAACAAAAACCAGGCAAAAGTCAATGAATTTTTTTCAAAGTTCACACGAACCTCTGTCCTCTGATGATCGAGCCTCCCCCGATCCCCTTCCCTTGCAATAATCCCTTCTCAACCCCTCATTTCCCTCCATTTTTCCTTCTCCAATCTGCGTCATCAACCATCAACATCGTCTTTTCGACGAGAGTCCAAATGAAAATCTTTCTTTCTTAGAGAAAAGAGTTTCGATTCTCACGGGGCTGACATGTGAAAGACTTTTTCGAAATACGGTAGATAGCATCTTTTGATGGAAGCCGACTTTGAAGAGTTCTGTCAGCTCCGAGCCAAACTGATATTTTAGTTACTATTGTTATTATTGAATGATTTGTCTATTCTTATGCAAATGTGTCCTCCCCTGTGCTTATCCCTTTTATTGCCACATCCGTTTATACCTAGGAACGTATAGTTCCCATTAAATATTTCTTTCCCATATCTTTCTTTCGATTTACATTTTTCTAATCTAAAAGTTCATAAATATTTTCTACAAGTAAACGTTTTCAAAAGAGATTCTAAAATCAGTGAACCGGTTTGGATCAGGTTTTCCTAGTTAGGCAAATTCTTTGGGGCAGAGGCAGATTTAAAGCTAGAGCTTCTTCTTCTTCTAGCCTTACCTAGCCTGATCTACTTTGCTGCAGATCTGACCCAAAAAAAGTCCTAGCTAGGTCTACAAAACCGGACAAGAGTTCTTCATTGTGACTTTCTAGCCAGGCAACTTCTTCATAGTATAAATCTATTGATATCTTAACCTATTGGGTTACTAAAAAGGAAAATACGTTGGCCAGCTTTTCGAATAACGAATAACATTGAATAATAATAACAATATGACCAATAACATTCAAAGAAATTGCTTGTAATTTTGCTCAACTCTGTGCCGGTTGAAAAATCTTTTTTTCCATTTGAACATTTCCATTCACTTTACCTAATCTAACAAGCTTTGATCTGTGTTCATTGAATGGAAGAGACTAAATCTCTGATTGAGAATCAGAGAAAATAGTTTCTTTTCTCATTCTTTAGACTCTTCTTGGCCGTTTGAGATCTCGTGAGTTTTCGAGTGGAAAAGAAAAAAAAAAGAGAGAGTCAGTTGCCCAATTTCTCTTTTATTTCTCTTTAACTTTGTCCAAATTCCCCTTTTCTTTTCTCAACAATTCAATCAAATGAGCTGAATTCCTAAAAGTTGACCTTTTCTGTGACAAGTCTACAGCTATAGTTGATTTTTTTTGACTATTCTTCGTATAATCTAATCTAGAATCGTTTTCTTTTATTCAATTTTGAAAACACATTAAGGAAATGGACTTTTTGTTGACTTAAAAAGCTTTCATTGTGCACTTTATACTGGCCTTTTGGCCTTTTGGCCTTTTGGCAAACTGTATCTCTCGAATCTTCTCATAACAAGCTAACAAGCAAAATCTGATAAGCTAAAAGCAGAATTCAATTCAGGAAGGTTTTGAGGTTGTGATTAGCACAAAGTGCATCCAAAAATCAGCTTTAAACAAAAATATTATGTTTCTCAATGAGTCATTATCAAAAGCTACCATTTGATCTTATTTTTGTCTCAAAATTTCTTTGTCCGTTTTCCTTAGCAGAGAAAAGATCACTTTCTTTCCCCCAAAAGCCTATAAAAAGTCAGCTAACTCGCCGAATTTCTCGTCTATTTTTGTCAAAAATCTTAAAATGACAATCATTTGCAAGAAAAACTTTAATCTTTCACCAAAAACTCTTTCATTTTCATCAGATTAGTCATTATTTTTTGCTCTGAAGCTGTCATTGAATTTTTGCGGTTTAAAATGTCAACTCTTTGTAGGAAAATTCTTAAAAAGTTGATCAGATTTGTTTTCTAAATCTTGTAAACATTCAGAAATTGTCTTTCAACATTCAGAAATTGTCGTAAACTTGTCTTTTATTCAGTCTACTTTTTTTTGATTGTAAGTTTTCATAAAGAATATCTAAAGAGACAAAATTTGGTTACCCTAAAGTCGCGAGTATAAGTTCTGTTTGGTTTTCGCATGCAAATTGACGGCTGTCTCCGGTGCGGTGTGTCGAGGGTCCGAACCCAGCTGCAGCATAACTTTTTTGCTTTTTAAGAACAATAATAGAAGCAAATTTATTGAGGGTTATAGCAATTGTATGCTGTTATTTGTTGCTCCGGGCGTGGCTCGGTGCATCCGCCCTGCTCCTCTCCGGTGCTCAGTCTTATGGATCCCTCCCTGGCCTCTTCATCCGGCCGGCCAAAGTCCACGTCGACGGTCGAAAGAGATGCTTTCCAGCGTCTTCTTCAACACTATCGTCTGGATGTATCCATGCACATAACAAATAGCAATGGTGATAGGCTGTCACCCTGTAGTATCTCGCGCTCCAAGAACAATAATAAAAGTTTATATAACAATAAAAATGTATAAAAACCCAACAAAAAGAAATTCAAAGCAATTAAAGCGAATGTAAATTAAGGCAGAACTTATACTCGGATCAACTTATACTCGAGACTTTAGGGAAAATTGAATAAAACTAAAGCCAAGATTACGTTAGTTTTCGAAAATTGATGTTTTAGAAAACGTGCTTTGAAAAGATAATCAAATAGACAGTCACAATAGTCAAATATTCAGGATTACTGTAGTTCTTGGCACTCTTTAGAAAGCTTGATGAGCTCAGTCAAATATAAACCCAATTGCGAAGCGAAAATTCTTTGGGATTACTTTTTGAGTCCATTGAAGTATCAAATCCATTCATCAAATCTTCTCTGATCTAATCCGACCCGAAACTTTTTTTTGTTTGTTTGTAGGGATTCTATTTAACTTTGAAAATATTAAATGAATTCAATGAATTTCATGATTAATCTTTACATCTTTACATTCTCTTTTCACATTTTAAACATTGTTTACAAAGTTGAATAGAGAATTTATAAACCCATGCACATTTTTTTTTCTCAATCCGTCATCAGATAAAAAGTGAGGGATTCTCTCAGAATTATTAATTTTGAGGGAAATGTTTTATAGAGAATTTGAAGAGAACATTTTAAAGGTTTTTAAACGTTTTTTTGATTTGAATCCTTATTCGGGAAGGAGTGTTTCTTTAGCTTGTTTCATTGAGAGATTCAGCTAGTGAGGGATTCTCTCAGAATTATTAATTTCGAGGGAACTGTTTGATAGAGAATTTGAAGAGAAAATTTTAAGGGTTTTTTTGATTTGAATCCTTATTCTGAAAGACGTGTTTCTTTAGGCCAAAGAGTTTCTTTAGTTTGTTTGGTGACATAGTAGTCTGCTAAAGTGTACCTGATCATAGTAGGCTGCTAGATCATAGCACCGAGAATGTAGATAGATCAAGAAGCAAGTCTTCTCAATTATCGACAAAAAAAAGCTACTTTAAAGAGAAAATTTTAAAGGTTTTTTGATTTGAATCCTTATTCTGAAAGACGTGTTTCTTTAGGCCAAAGAGTTTCTTTAGCTTGTTTCATTGAGATATTCAGCTATCCAGAAAATTGAGTTCTAGATTCAGAGATCCAGAAAGAGTTCAAGCAAATTCGGAATTCATTTTTGACATCAAATCCTGCTTCTTTACCCCTTTCTTTATCCCATTTACTCGTTGTTTTGCTTAACGCGAAAAAATCTTCTGAAGTTTGAGCGATTTGAGAGGTCATTTCTATATTTCCTGGAATTTTGATCACCAAAAAGCTTTGGGGTGGTCGTAAAAGTGGCGGAGTGAGAAATCTTCTGAAGTTTGAAATTTATATACCCACGCACATTTTTTTTTCTTAATCCGTCATCAGATAAATAGTGAGGGATTCTCTCAGAATTGTTAATTTTGAGGGAAATGTTTTATAGAGAATTTTTGAGAAATTTCAAAATACATTTTCGGTTTATTATCTTTTAAAGAAGTTCAAAAGAAACTTTTCTTTGCTAACGCACGTGTGGCTGACTGGTTAAGTGTCTTTTATCTTAATCGGAAGGTCGAGGGTTCGAACCCCACATGCGACATGGTCACCCCCTTCGGATTTCCTTTCCCTTCGTGTTGAGAGGTTTTCTGGAGGGCAGTCTGGTGGTTGTGGCCCCAGTTCTTTAAAGTGACAAGCCACTCCTTCATCGTCATCTTCCCTTCACCACCAAAAAAGCTATTTAGTTCCCCATTGAGCTTAGGGTTAGGGAGCCGTCTGTCATGACGTGGGTTAAGTTAAGATATAGCCTAGTATTGTGTGTGTCGTTGTATTGTGATTGATATATTTCGTGTATGCGATAAATTCACCACTGGTAACCCCAGTCGGTATTTTTTTAACGATTTTACAACACAATTATATCCAATTATCAAAAAGATTGAGATTTATAAGTTAAATCATTTGAAAGTTCAGCCATATTTGCTCAAATAAAGTAGCTCTGTTTGATCAAAATTTTAGAATAAAGTTTGAAAAGAACTTGCTGAAATTTCTTTTATATAACAATAGAAAATCGAGGAAAATCTTATTTTATTGGCCTAATTACGAGAATCTTTAGATGAGTACAAATGTAAATGCTTTTAAACCCATTACATTCTTCGCAATATTTACAAAATCTGAATTCAACTACCAGCTACCATAAATTCGATCAATTCCCATTTCGATCCAAACTCCAACAGCCGAAAATTTGCCTCAAAACTTTTCTCGATTCTTTTTGTACTTAATAAATCAAAAGTTCAGCTGTTTTACTGACTAAACTCTACTGTTTTCTCTCCAATCGCATTGTTTACTCAAAAATTTTTGAGTTTCCCAAGTTTTTGAGAGAAACTCATCAATGATATGTACCTTTTGTTCAACAGTTGATCGCTTAGATGATTCAAACTCTCAACTAAAAGATTGCAAGATATTTTCGTCACTTTGTAAGTGGTTTTTTTCCCAACAATTCCCAAATCCAACTTTCCACTCAAAAATCTTAACGATAAGAGTCCAAAAACTCGGGTTTTCTCATGTTTTACACAAGAAAAGCTCTTCATTTAGCCACAATGCAACACTCTTACGTAGAAAGCGAACGTTTTTGAATGATTGATAAAAGTTGAAAGGATTTTTAGACTTCTTTTAGAGAATTTTGAGAAAAGAGGCGTCACTTGTTGACCCAATCACTCTCAATGAAAAGGAAAATTGAGAAAAGTCTATCAATGAAAGAGAGAAAAGAGAAGACTCAATCCAGACAAGCCAATGGGTAAAACTTTGGGCATTTCTTTTTCTCTTTCAACGTCACAACATGAAGCTCCTGTTTACGTCATGAGTCTCCCTCTCTTTGGAGTCTTTTTTGATGTTCCCCTGAATGCTAATGAATGGATTTTTGAAATCCTAGACAGAGTTTTTCCACTTTCATGATCTAGAGTCGAAAAGTTTAATGGAAATCATGAAGAAATTAAGGACTTTGGCTTTGGCTTACTCTTTCGTTTGCTAAGCTGTTAACAATGATCTTTATTAGGAAAATCAAGACTTTCACGACCATGAATTTGACCGGAAATAGTCACTTTTTCAACAGTTCCAAAAGGTATTTCAAAAGTGGTAAAGCCAAGTTAAAGCTCAAGTTTAGCCTTGCTTCTTGTAAGTGTTTCCCAAAACATTTTCTTTTTCCCTTTTCCTCGACTCAAACGCTCACTGATACATTGATTTGAGCTTTTGTGCCTTTTCCCCCATTTTCTCTTGAGGCGACGTAAAAATCAGCGGGCCTTGGCGACGTCACATCGAAAAAAAAAGGGGAAAAGGGAAGGGAATTCGGAAGAGATCAAAAGAAAATAGAAAAAAGGAAAAAGGGGACGAGTAAAGGTTTGGGGTGAGGCACGGCTTTCCCTCAAAAATGTCTCTTCCTATTGTGTCTCTATTTTCTTTTTTCTCATTTCTCCACTTGGATCCTTTCTCTTTTCGCTTTGAAGCCGTCTTTTTCATCTTTACTTTCTCTACAATCTCTAAATCTTTTGAATTCCGTTTTCTCTACTGAAATTTTGTTTTTCCTTTCTCTATTGAGGCTCCATTGATGTAACTCTCATTTCTTTCTTGGTTTTACTATTAGATTTTTGCCCATCTCCAACGCTCACTCTATGAATCTCCAAACAACTCTCAGTATCCTAAAAGATTTCCCCTTCTTTCTTCCTATTTTGTTTTTCACCATCTCTACTTGGCTTTTCTCTCAGCTTCTTAACCTTTTTTTATCTCTTTCTCTTCCAAACCCATTCTTATTTGATTTCCATGTCCCTCTCTCGATATTTTCTTTGCATTTCCCTCACTCCTTTCATCTTCTATCATTTCAATCCATTTCCCTCGCTTTTCCTTTTCCCCATTCTTTCCTCTTCCCTTCTTTCCCTCACTCCTTTCATCTTCCATCATTCCAATCCATTTCCCTCATTCTCTCTTCTCCATTCTCCCTTCCCATCCTCTCTTCCCATTCTCCCTTCCCATTCTCCCTTCCCATTCTCCCTTCCCATTCTCCCTTCCCATTCTCCCTTCCCATTCTCCCTTCCCATTCTCCCTTCCCATTCTCCCTTCCCATTCTCCCTTCCCATTCTCCCTTCCCATTCCCCACTCTTCCCCTCTTCCCTCTCCTTTCCCCTCTTCTTCTCCATCTTTTGTGGTCCTCTCAACCTGTTCACTAACGACCAACTAATTCTTGCACGTTTTTTTATTGCATTAGCGACACTGCTCGAATTATCACGGCTTTCCTCGTCTTATTTTCCTTCCTTGTTTTTATTGGCACTGATTTCATTCTTTAAAGCTCAGATTTAGTTTTGATTTTTGAAGAATATTTTAGATTTAATATTTTTAAAAAATAGTTCTTTGAGCCTTTCTCGTTCTTGTAAATTTTGATCTTTTTTGCTTTAAAATTACGTGAACCTAAACAAATATTGTATTTTTTTAATTTTACAAAAAAACAAATTATAAAAATGACTAATTTCTATTTGATTATCCAAATCTTGAATGCAAACATCACCATTTTTTTTGCTCACAATTTGCATCATCGTCAAAGTTTCTCATTTTTGCACCTGAAAGTCTAATAGAAATTGTTCCTTTTTTTCCAGTCTCTAATTTCTCCACCCAAATACGTCAAATTTGTCAATTTTTCAGCTTATCAATCAAAGCGTTTCCAATTTTGCTCAAAAAATCCTTTTGATCTTTGAGAAATGAGAAAAGAGAACGTTTTTTTGAAATGAAAAGTACGTCACGATTCCTTTCAAGGCTATATTTAGAGATTTAGAGATTGATATCAATTAAAAATATCAATTTTTTAGAATTTCTCTATAACTCTTTCAAAAAAAACAAGTAAACTTATCTGTTTTTTTTAAATTTTAAATAAGAGTTTACTTTGATCTAAAGTGGAGTCTAAAATTTAGCCAAGTTTTTCCACAACAGACTTTGATTTGTTTAAATTTATATTACAAAGATTAAAAATAGAGAAGACTGTATAAATCTCAAGGGTCTCAAGCACTTGTTGCCGAGTTGCTTACAAGACTTCACGCATTATCTCATCAATTCATCAATTCCCAAGTGCTGGGAGATGAAGACGTCAGAGCCTTGACGTTCCCTTGTCCTCCTTGTCCCTTCCTCTCATTCTTTCCATTCCATCTTTCTTACTTCTCGAACTGATTACGAGTGTTGCCTTCCATTCTTTTTTCTCTTCAAGCAATTCTTCTTTGTAATCTTAAAATGGATTAGCTTAGAAATAAGTTATTGATTGTTGATTAGTTATTGATTGTTATTGATAGTTAGTTATTGATTTTATCAGAAAATCTTTACGATTAGTCTAAAACCGTTTTGAACACTTGAACTGTAGCCGAAATTCTTTTCATTATAAATGAAGCTTACTGTACAATTGTTGAAGCTTAAAATTCAATCAGAATCCTGTAAAGCTTGTAGGTCTTTAACCTACAAGCTTTACAGGATTCTGATTGACACAGTACAATTCATTGTTTAAGCTGAAGCTGAGCTTTATGAAAACCTTTACTGCTGTAAAATCTAGCCTATTTCAAATTAGTCAATTGTTTTGTCATCCGAGACTAGATTCTAATCTTTGCAATTACAATCTCTCCAATTCTTTCCCATCCAAATCATTCTCCTGTTTTTCCCATTTCCAAATCCCATCTAATTTGTTCTAATCGTGTCCAAATTTACGCTAAATCATGTTTTTCTTTCCTTTCTTTCTTCTTTTCCCCACATAATCCGTTATTTATTTTTCTAAACGAGTTACGTCATCGAATTGAAGAGAAGTAGAGAAAAATTGGGGAAAAGCGAAAGATTTCTGAAGGGAAAATTTTCTCTTTTTGTTGATACATTTGTAAACTAGACGGTTTACTGAAATTGAGCATTTTCAATGGAAAATTCAGCTGTCTTCTTTTTGAATTTTGCTGTACCATGAAGCGATTAATCGTTTTATTTTCGTAGTTGAAATTTGGAGTCAATGTCTTTGTTACTTACTTTTCATCTAATTAAAAAAATACCGACTGGGGCTACCAGTGGTGAATTTATCGCATACACGAAATATATCAATCACAATACAACGACACACACAATACTAGGCTATATCTTAACTTAACCCACGTCATGACAGACGGCTCCCTAACCCTAAGCTCAATGGGGAACTAAATAGCTTTTTTGGTGGTGAAGGGAAGATGACGATGAAGGAGTGGCTAATCAAAAGAATATCTTTACTTTTGTTAATTCCTCAAGGCTAACTATCAGCATTTACTACAGTATACTAACATCTAAAATATTCAATCTTATTTTCAACCGACTAGACTGAATATCTTCCAAATTCTTTAAGCGGAAAAGATTTTCAGTTCTCAAAGTGTAGACAATACTGAATCCTTGCAGAATTCAAGTGTTTTTCTGCATTTTGTAAATGTCCATTCATTTGTCCTCAATCCATTCATGCCCTCAATCCATTCATGCCCTCAATCCATTCATTTCTATCTGATAATCATGAATAATCTCTTTCAGAAGGTTTGGCTAAACAACGACCATTCACCCAAATCCTCCACAATCATTTTGGGATCATCGGGACTCCATTGAGGGGATGTGTGAACCCGGTGGAGTCTCGTGGTCCCTTGCCGGTCATCCACCACCACAACCACGATCAACCATCAAGATTGGATTTTATGAGGTGGGTAAATGGTTACTGTAGCTTACTGTAGTCCTGTACTGTAGTCCTGTACTGTAGTCCTGTACTGTACTCCTGTACTGTAGTCCTGTACCCTAGTCCTGTACTGTAGTCCTGTACTGTACTCCTGTACTGTAGTACATTATATTTTGCATCACCTATCATTTTAATACTTGAAAGTAACAAAGTCTTATGTTAAAAGAGCCTTTTTAAGCTCTCAATTCTAAAAATACGATTGAATTTTAAAACCACGATCTTTTGTTCTTGCAAATCTAAAAACTCCCTTTCTTTACGTCATTGAATTCTCTTTTTTTTGCCGATTTCAACCTCGTTTTCTTTTCATTTTCCCCATTCACGAAATTCTTCTTTTCATCTTTGCATCTTGCAGGCATTTCCTTAGATTTTTGGTGCTTCTTGAGGACAAGAATGTTTAAAAATGCAAAAAGCTTGCCTAATTTTTGTAGATCAATTCGAGAATGTAGATAGATCAAATAACAAGTCTTCTCAATTATCTCAACTCAATTAGAGCGCACGTTTAGAGAAATTTGGCCCGATAACTCAATTCCGGAAAAGTTTGGTGACATAGTAGTCTGCTGAAGTGTACCTGATCATAGTAGGCTGCTAGATCATAGCACCGAGAATGTAGATAGATCAAGAAGCAAGTCTTCTCAATTATCGACAAAAAAAAGCTACTTTAAAGAGAAAATTTTAAAGGTTTTTTTGATTTGAATCCTTATTCTGAAAGACGTGTTTCTTTAGGCCAAAGAGTTTCTTTAGCTTGTTTCATTGAGATATTCAGCTATCCAGAAAATTGAGTTCTAAGATTCAGAGATCCAGAAAGAGTTCAAGCAAATTCGGAATTCATTTTTGACATCAAATCCTGCTTCTTTACCCCTTTCTTTATCCCATTTACTCGTTGTTTTGCTCAACACGAAGACATTTTCTGAATTTTGAGCAATTTGAGAGGTCATTTCTATATTTCCTGGAATTTTGATCACCAAAAAGCTTTGGGGTGGTCGTAAAAGTGGGGGAGTGAGGGGAGAGGTCCTCTCACCAGCCTCACTCACTCCTCACCCTCCACCCTCACTCACCCCTCACCTCCCGTGTTATCACTGTTCCATTAGTCAAAAAGCGTCATAGGAAATACCTCTTTGTCTTCCAGAAATCACATATAAACTCTTTAAATCTTTTGCAAAAAATCCGAGAAAGCGTAATTACGTCAATGAGTTTCTCGATTGCTTGATTTTGGGTATTGTAATTTGGTACACAAAGCACAGAATTTCTTTTCTAATTGACATTTTCACATTGTTATAAAAAAGGTTAATTAGAACCATGGAGATTCAACAATCAAAACAAAATTCAGATTAAAACAAAACAGACTCAACAAAACACATCCTTCAGAGAGTGGATATTCAGAGAGTGGATATAAATTGCCAAAACAAGAGAAAATTTGAAGCAAAAAATCCAATAATTACTCCCTATTATCTCAATTTTTTTAACATTTCAATTTTTTTTTGTTTTCAGGTGGAGAAAACAATTGGAAAAGGCAATTATGCTTGCGTCAAGCTGGCCCGACATCGAGTCACAAAAACTGAGGTGAGAGGGGGGAAATTAGAGAGGTACAACGGTAACAGAGAGAAATTAACTAGAAATAAAATGAGTCCAGATCGGATTACTGATTAGTAACCTAGTTAAATGATAGAAAAATCATCAAAATTGTCGAAAATCATCAAAATAATAAGTGTAAACTACTAAATTTCTACTAAATTTCATCTTTTCTTAGGTAGCGATTAAAATTGTTGACAAGACTCGCCTCGACAAGGAGAACCTCGATAAAGTGTATCGAGAGATCGAGGTGTTGAAACGGCTCAATCATCCACATATCATCAAATTGTATCAGGTATTTGAAAGCAAATCCGTAAACAGTGATCGACTGAAAAAGCAGAAGATATGAAATCAATCTGATCCACTAGTTTATAGTATTCTATTTCTAGTATATTCTAGTACAGATTATCAAAGTCTAGTTAGATACTAGAAATATACTCGGTACTGTGGGTAATTTCTAGCTACTGTAGAGCTACAGTTTATTATACACTTGTACATTTCATCTAGAAACATTTTCTAGAAACATTTTCCCGAAACTCAACTCAAAAATCACCTATCCAATTGATTTGTTGAAGAATGAGAAACAAGAAAGTGCCCTTTGCCCCTAATTTCCCCTCTAAAAAGAGCCCATTTTCGGAAGACGTCATAAAAATGGCTTTGAACAAATAAAAATTTTTCTTTCTCATGCAGCAAAGAACTTTTATGAAGGTGTTGCGTTTGACACTTTGGGGATTTTATTGAGGATTCGATTTTCCAAACGCCACAACTAGCAAATGAGCTGATTTACGGATGATCGCTCAAGAAATGAGCTTTTCAGTGGAATGGAAAACAATATTAAGCAAAGTTAGGATAACGAATGTAAAACTTTACAAGTACTCTATGAAAATATGAAAGTTTTGTTAATTAACTAAGTTTTGTTTTGTTAACTAACTAAGTTTTGTTTTCAGGTGATGGAAACGACGAATATTATCTACTTGGTTACCGAATATGCGCCGAATGGAGAGGTTTTTGGTGAGTTTTTTTTTTTGAAATAAGCAAAACATTGTAAAGCATAGAATCAAAAATTCGATCTTTTAACTAATTTTTAAGTTTTTGAGTAGAGTAAAATGCTTTACTTGAAGCCAAATGTCAGTCTTTTTCGTTGAATACTTTCACGAAGAAATGACTGAGAAACGAGACGAGTTTTAACCTTATTTTACAATTTACAATACTTAAAACATCTACAACATTTGATTTTTATCATCCCACTTTCTAGATCTAATCTCTCGGCATTCTCGTCTCACCGAAGAGGATGCTCGCTTCAAATTCTGGCAGATCATCTCCGCCATCGATTATTGTCACAAAATGGGTGTTGTGCATAGGGATTTAAAGGTTAAATTCCCCAAAAATAAATTCTATATAAAAATTCAGGCTGAAAACCTGTTATTGGACGGAAATTTTCGATTAAAAATCGCTGACTTTGGCTTCAGCAATTTCTTCAAAGGTGATGAACAATTGGGGACTTTTTGCGGCTCTCCTCCCTACGCAGCTCCTGAGGTTTTTGAGGGAAGACATTATTCGGCCACGAGTCTCGATATTTGGGTTTGTTTTTAAGAATATATTAGTACAAAAAAATTTGTATAGATTTTGAGTCTAAAAAAAAAACTCGTTTCCTTTTCCCGAATAAGCTCATTTCCTCGGAAATTGGTGTAACGCTAAACAAAGATATTTCTGTGTCGATTGCTTATTTCCTTTTTTGAAAGGACAAGATAAATAAAGAAGACCGAAAGTGAATGAAAAAAAAAGGAAAAGGGTTGTCGATGACGCAAACGAGTTGTTTTCTTGGGTATTTTGGGTCAGGGAAAGGGAAATGGAGAATGGGAGTGGAAAACGATGATCAAACTTGATTTAGGGACTGATTTCTTTCAGCTATTTTTCAATGAACTATAATGTTAAAGAAAATCATGACTGAAATTGTAAACTTTAAAGGAATTTCAGCTTTAAGCCATTTGAGTTCAGAGTCTAATGAACTTCTCTGAGCTCAGTCCCTAAGTCAAGTTTGATCATCGCTTTCCACTCCCATTCAGAAATTGTAGTAAAATTTTGAAAAGATGAAATTGAGGTGAACTTGAGTAGCTTTAAATAAAAGCAGTGAAATGTCATTGGCTCAAAATTGTGGAAATTTGGAAAAAAAACCAGTGCCCAATCAGCTTCTTAATCTTGGTTTTAAAAATTGTCTAATGATCAAGATCAGGATTCATTTTATTACCAAAGTTTAGAGCATTTTTCCATTATCTTCTTAATAAAGTAGCTGTGAAATGTAAAATTTAAGTTTTCTCTTTCAGATTTCTATTTTTGAATATCCGGACTTGCTAGGGTCAAACTGGATGGACATCACTTTGATTGAGGAAATTGATTGCATTTCCGATCAGCCTTTCTCTCTCTAAAGATCCCTAGAGAATCTGTGATTGAACATGTGACCCATTTGTGTTTTTTGATTCTCGAGGAGAAACGGCTAAACAATTAAGCTTGATTTTTTGAAATAAGAAATCTCTTGGGGTTGTGGACAAAGGTGGACACTTTGAGGTACACCTTTTCCAAGAAGGTGTGGGAAATGGCACCTTTTCCAAGAATGGCTAATCCAAGAATTCGTGTTGTTACCAAAATTTTGATACTGAAATCCCACTTTGAAATCTTTTCTTAGAAATTCTAGTAAACAATTTGCCATGAGATTTCAAAAATAGCCACCTAATTGTTTATTAGAAATTCCAGACGGGATTTCTCAAAAAAAGATTTCAAAGCGGGATTTGAAAAATTTCGCAGCAAGACTTCATTTCAAAAAGTTTACCTGGAAAAGGAAACATTTTTTTACACACAAGTTTTTGTCTAACTTTTGCACAAAAGTCTTCTCAAGTAAACGTTTAAAGTAAGCAATGGAGAAAAGGGAAAAAAAGACTCAAAGATGCACCGAAAAAAGTGAGGGTTGTGACGCAGTTGTCAGAAAAGAAACGGTGAGCCGACACGACGAGCATTTTTTTGATTCCTTAAGGGAAAAGGGGAAAGGACAAGACTTGGGACACTGACCCATTCACTTTTCGACTTTTCTTTCCGTTGTAACAAATTCCCCGTCAACAAAGCCGCTCATCCACAAACGCAATTTGTTCTCAAGGGAGCACTAAAGAAATCACATTTTATCGTCATTTTGTGTCACCTCTTTGACACAATGACCACCTGGGGGAATGGCTTTTGATCGGGAAAATGTTGAGATCCTTTTGATGGGGAAAATGTTGAGATCCTGAGATCACCTCTTTGACACAATGACCACCTGGGAGAATAGCTTTTGATCGGGAAAATGTTGAGATTTCAAATTAACACAGAAAAGTTAAAGGAGCTTCAGCTCAAACAAGACCACAAAATCTTGATTTCAGAGTCTCGGCGTTGTACTATATGTGTTCGTTTGTGGAGCTCTTCCCTTCAATGGCCCTACTCTTCAACATTTAAGAGATCGAGTATTGAGTGGACGATTTCGAATCCCATTCTACATGTCACAAGGTATTTCTAAAACGAATAACAAGTTGAAAATCATTTACATAACAATCTATAAAAAATTTTCAGAATGCGAAAATCTAATCCGCAGAATGTTGACGCTCGATCCGACAAAAAGACCGACAATTGAACAAATAAAAGCTCATAAATGGATGCAACAAGGGAATGTCCAACAAAGAATTGAAGCTGAGGTTTTGAAAACTTCTTTGTTAATAAAAATTTTGTATTTCCAGATCCAACACTTCGAGAAATACTATCAAAGTGAGCCACAACAACAAATTTTAAATTTGATGCATGGAATGGGAGTCGATCAGAATCGAACAAAAGAGGTATTTGGAAGAAAATTTGATGTCATTATTTGAAGCTTTTAGTCTCTTCGGAAGCGTCAATACGATAATTTCATGGCGATTTATTTGTTACTCTTTGAAAGATGGAGAAATTCGACTTTGGAGACGACAAGAAAAAGATCGGGGGAAATGCACAGAACACAGACCGATCCGGAATTGAATCGGTCAGTAAATTGAGTCTGTTTTCAATAAATTGGTCAGTAAATTGATAGTCTGAAGTGCTGATTCTGATATTCTGTAATCATCAATCTTTATAAATCTACTGTACCTTGAAAATGAAATTTCAGAGAAGAAGTGATCTCGGTGCGTCGAGCTCGTCCACTCCTACATTCACTCAGAGATCACAACACTTTCAAAACAACCGATACAACGGCTTCAAGTGGATATGGAGATGATCGAGCATCGACTTTGTCAAGGCAAAGCACAATTGGAACGATTGGGAGTATTGATGAAGGTACGGAAAGCTTTAGAGCACAAAGTATTGGAAAATATTCGATTAATCGCCACTTTCAGGTGTCGAAATAGACACGGAATGTTGCTCATCCACATCACCTCAACATCTCAATTTCACATCGGGCGATGAAATGCTGGAGACCTCGCCATGTCACATTGAAGGTTTCGATACAATTGAAACGGATTTGATGAGCAGTCTCTCATCATGTCCAGCAAGTAGAAGTGATGGGAGTCAACACAGTCAAGGTAAGGGAAACGATTTTTTTAAACCTCTTTTTAAACCACGTCACCTTTCAGGCCAACACCCACTGATCTCTATGAATCCTTGTCAATGTGCAAATTCTCCATCCACAAGCTCTTCTCAACCAAATTCTTCTTTTGGGGAAGGATGGAGAGCTTCCGATAATATGGTTTTCGACTCAGTCAGAGCTCCCCATTTCCCGACTGGACAAATCGGACAGATCACAAAGGGGAAAGGAGTGATGGGAGAAGTGGCGAGGTGAGGGAAATGGCTAATGTAAGATTTCTAGGTTTTCACCTCTAATTGTAAGACTTCAAGTAGAAATTTCTAAACAATTTCTTTTCAGATTCGCCCCACCACCTTGCCCACCATCACCGGATCCAAGTGAGCGTTTGCAGAGAATGCGAATCGGTGGTCGCCCACCGCCCGGTCGATCTCGTCCAATCGTTTGCAAGAGGGTTTCTCTACCGGAAAGCTTAGAATTTCAGGTAAAAATCCATCACTTTTCCACTTCATACAACAAATTTCAGCCTCAAAAGTTGCTCAACATGAAAAAAGCTTTACATCTTGAACAACAAATGGTCAATGGAGGTGGAGCACCCGAAGGATTTGAGGGAAAACCGCTGAATCCATTGAAAGCTCGAATTCAACACAAACGAGCGATCAAGTCAAGAATGCAACTAATGAGGCAACAGGTGAGAAAATTGGAAATAATCGGCAATCGATTCAATTAGAGTTATCAGATGGCACAAAAGCAAAGCGTTTTGACCGGATTGGCGACAGTGATGGATGAAGTGGTGGAGATGATGGAACCGTATTTGGAGTCAGCTCATGCACCCACACAACTCTCACCGATTCAGGATTGCACGAGGGAGGATGGCGAGTGAATAAAAGCTACTTTGCTACTTTGTGCCAAATTTTTTTTTTTGCACAATTTGCCATAAACGCCTTCTAAGTGGGCTAATCTTTATGATTTTGATGTCATTTTGTTGCACTTGTTGAGATCTACAAAATGACATCAAAATCATAAAGATTAGCCCACTTAGAAGGAAGTTATGGCGAGTTGCGGAAAAAATTTGGTGAAGTCACTCCCCTGCCTACCCTCAGAACTTTTTGAAAATCCATTTTTCATTTAAACTTTGAAGATTTAAGAGCTAAATTTGCAAACATCCTATAAAATAATTTGCATTTAACTTTGAAATCTGTAACTTATGAAAAAAGACCATTCAAAAACATCTATCGCTTACAATATCATGACTTTTCAACTTTACCTATATCCACATTGTGCATTCATTTTCTTTTAGATCTTATTGTATCTCTTTATGTTTTTCTCTTAAACAAGCTCAATTCACGATACTAGTCAAACATTTTGTGATCTCTTTTTCCCCCCTATTCGGATGCTACAACGAGCTTTGCACACAGAAATTTGATCGAATCCAACACAACTAAAGGACTCGATTTCAAGGATTTCCCAAGAAATTACTGGTAAAACTACCGAGAGATTTTCTTTTTCTTCAGCCATTGAAATATTTTTGTCAAATACTAGTCAACTTGTGATTTATCATCCTTTGTTAGACCGGTGTATTTCCCTCAAACGGTTCCTTTTCCTGAAAAAAAGCACCTAAACATTTCAGTTTTAAAGCTTTTATTCTTTTATTTGTCCCTAAATATTTTATAGTGAATAATAAAAAGTCTTAAAATGTGAAATTAAATTAGAATGATTTTCGTAAAACAAAATCAATATGCACTTCCGATGGCAAAGTCTTAAACACAAAATACAAAATAGTTGACTTCAAGGAATTGGCAATGAAAGAAAAGGAAGTTGACGAAATCCTACAGAAAAAATTTCTGCATAAAATTTTATAGGAGACAAATTAGGAAAGAACAAGTTAAATAAATGTGTAACGTGATATAAAAACAAACGAATTGTAGAAATGAAGAGGCATTGTTGGGGTGATCAAATCGCTTTTATCTCGAGAGTCGGAACGTCAAAAAGTGGTAGTTGACAGAGGTAAGGAAACCTGAAAATTGAGAATTAGAGAATGAACTTAGTTTCGTTAGAATTACTTAATCATGTACAATGTTTTCTTCAAGACTAACAAGATTTAAATGAAACTAAATTGGCTCGCTGATATTCTACAGTTTTAAATTCACTGCAGAATTTTTTGTGAACGACGACTCACCAATATTTGTTAAAGAAAAGGTATTTATTATCTTTCAAAAACTCTTCAAATCATTTTAGACACTTATAATATTTATAAAGACCCCTTTTTACAAGTTTTGAAAATATTCATTTTATACATATTAGTTCGGAAGCTAACAAAATACTAAACAATACTAACCTTGATCACAGAATGTCGCATTTGCTCTTCTCAGCCCAAGGGTTCACTCGCTTGTCGACGGGATTCACAAGGGGGTCCTGGTCTTGTTGGCTTTCCGTGAATCGACGCAATCTAAAAAGAAAAACGATTAAGTAGACAAGAAAATCTAATAAATTGATCTTAAAATCTTAGCATGCTCGGCTTTGATGGCAATTACTTTCTATCAAATGATTGCATCAATGATTGCAATTACTTTTCTATCAAAAAATGCTGACAAAACTTGCGAGCTTCTTGTCGTATAAACTTTTTGCTGTGGTAGTATTGAGAAAATCGATAAATATGCCACAAGATAAGAACGAAAAGCCCAAGTATAATTTTTGCTAGATAAAATAGGCTTCTAAAACAATGATAAAAGCTGTATAAATGTCTTAAGCTCAATTTCGATTTGAATTTTCAAGAAAAAGGCATTTTTCAAAATGTGAATTGATCTATTTAAACTATTTGAAGCTATTCTCATCGCCAGCAGTTTTCTTAAATTTTTAGTGATTCTCTACTTTCTACAATTCCTAGGGTTTTTTCTATTCAAATAAAAAAAACTCACTCAGTGGCACTCTTCGAGATGGGTTGTCGATCTATATTCAGTTGATGGCGGTAGCTCTCGACCTGACGTTGCAAATCGCTCTTGTCCATATCGCTGTCCACTAACTAAAGAAAAGAAATACATTGTTGGATAATGAAATAAAAAAAACAAAGCACAAAAGTTAGAGAAGAACAAATACCTAAATCACCGAGAAGTTTGACAGAAGAGAGATTTTATTAATCTTATTTGTCGATGAGTTATTCATTTCATTGACTGAATATTTTAATAACAACGAAGCACATTTTCGAATGACACAAAAACTTGATGATAGCCATTTTACGATCAAAATTTCACTGACAAAACAACCACAAGTTGATAGTACGTTAAGAGGAAGATCAAACCTCGGGTGGATCAATATTTTGTAGTGATATCTCGTGCGCTGTATACTTATTTTCATCATAAGTGATGCCCGAGTGATGAAAACGGTCTATAGAGGAACTTGTTTTTGATTGGATACATCAAGATTTGCCTCCAAGCTTCGAGAAACCGTTGTAGGGAGTCGCATAAAACATTTGTTGAGGCTAGGATTGTGGTGATAAACTGTGCTCGTTGATTCAAAAATAATTAGCCAGCGTCGAATTAATCTAAAGGCTTAAAAGCTTGCAACAAACAAAACTGACTTAAAACAAATTGCACGGTTTGGCTACATTTGAAAGCAATTTTACAAAAAAAACGCCGCAGTTTAATGTTATTTTACATTAGCCAACAATTTTAGGGAATTAAAGTGTGCCAAGATCATAGAAAAAGTCTAAAGATAAAGTGAAAAGGCTATGCTTTTAAAAGCTGTCTTTAGAAAACGAAGAATGATAATTTAAGCTAAATTTTAGTATTCGCCTTAATCGTTACTCACTCGAAAGCCAGGCTCGAAAAAATTGTTGGAGCATCATTGCCTACAAAGATCTAATCTAGCGCAGGTTATTTAACAAATAACAAATAGGGTTTAGATTCCAAATAGCCAAAAAAACAAAATCAGAAAACAACGCTACGAGTTAAACAAAAGAGAATCGCGCAAGCCGTAGCGGAAAGCAATTCTAAATAAAGTGGGCTTATTTGAGAGGGGAAAGAGAGCCGAGCGGAAAGGCTGTTGAGGGGTTGTGTGGGGAAATCGATAGAATGCATCGATTCCCCGTGTTTCTCTTTTACTCTTCTCTTTCTTCTCTTTTCCCCTAACTGCACTCTCAACCCTCCCCATTTTTCCCAAGCAATCTCTCCCCTCCGATCCCCCCTTCTTTGCACCTTTTCTCTTCTCTTTCAATCGCTTTGGGACCCAATGGATGCACATAGGAGAGTCGCCTCTTTTTCCTTTGCTTCACCACCTCGTTTCAAAGAATTCTTTGCTAAAAGATTTTAAAGTTTATAGAGCAAAAACATGTTCTAGAGGAAAGATTCTATAGTTAAAGGATAAAGAATGAAATGGTCAAGAAATCAGTAAATTTTTGTAAAATTTTCAAATATGTACATACATTTCGTTTTTAAATAGCAAAATTGTAAAAATAAAATTTATAAGTCCAAACACAGGGCTTTAAGTTTTACGGTGTTTTTACGGATTGTACGGAAAACGTCAAAATCTCAGCACCTTATTTTCAATACAAATCCAAAATCTGGACTCAACTCGATTTCGTAACATTCTCTTTGCGATTACGCCGACTCTTTTCTTTCATTCTTCCAGAATTGAAACACGATTTGAAAGGGGAAATTCGAATTCGAAAAGAGAGCCTCCATTGCATCATTTTCTTAAAACCCCCGTTGACCGAACCAAATGCTTTTCATTAGCAATAACGAGTGAAAGAGCGGGCATTTGCAAGGGAGATTCTGGTGTACAAAGACCTGTTTATTGTGCAAAGAATTCATAGATAATCAAATTCAATTTTATGTACTTTCAATCGATTGAGAAATCACACTTTTATCAAAAGATTTTATTAATCATTAAGATCCAATCAGCTCGACAGCTCGAGCTCGACATCGTCCCAATTCAATCTTCTTGTTTACATCAATCGCCTAATCGATGATATCGACAATTATATGCAAATTCCAGATAATTAAAAAGACAAAAAATACGAAAAGTTCCGTTATGGAAGTAAAATGACGAACTGCCAGAAATTCAAAAACCGCTACATCCATATAAAAGATGACAAAAGGCTGTGCAACTCGAGAGTGCATAAATTTTCAATTCAAAACTTTTTTTGTCAATTCCTGTATAAAGGTTATGGTTGGAATCCTTTGTATATGTGCACCCCTAATACTGCGCGGTACCCTCTGAGCTTGCCTAAGTTGTTCTCCCAACCATGCCCAAAAATCTCCCGCCTTGATACCACCATTCTCTAGACGAACACCGAATATCCCGAGCGCTACCAGAAAGGTTTATTCCTTATGTTGGTCGCTTGGTTCCAAGCGGCTGCCGTTGTCACAGCCTTGTGAGGGTCACCATCGCCGCGGTGGCCTATAGAACAAAATCGTTGATGTGCAAGGTGGCCACAGGAAACACCGAATATAAGAAAAAAAGCAAAGCTTTTACTATAATAAAGTTTCGTCATCCGTTCTCTTTTCCGTTCTCGTTCAATGCTCATCTTCAGCCTCTATTGGGATTTTTGAAAACTAGACTGGGTTAAATAGAGATATTAACTTTATTTGTGTACAAAGAAAAACGTTTTTCAAAATATTGCATCGTTTTTTGTAAAAAAGCAAAAACGATTTGTCCTTATGGTTGTCCGAAGGCGCCTTGAGGGGCTTGGGTTCAACGCTCAACCTTTTTTACTAATTTGAAAACAAAAGTGGTTTTGGTTAGCTATGTGATGATTCTACTAATATACAAATTTATATTGCAAGAAGAATCACTTCTATTAGTTATTATGATATTTTTCTTCTTGCAATATTTACTTCTCTTTTTTCAAGCCAATTTCAAAGTACGCGAACTATCTGTACCGAATAGAGACAAATTAATAAAATTACCCGGAATAAAATACCCGGAAAAATTGTGTCTTTGAAAGTATTCTCGGTAATTAAGTTTCAGTTCATTGCGATCATTGTACTTTTTCAGTACTTTTATAAGCTACTTCACTTTTTGCTACTTTACGAATACTTTTTTAAGCTTTATATAGCTTTTGGCAGTAAATTTTTGACAATAGAAACAGTAGAAAATAAAATGAAAGAAATTTGAAGTCATGATTCTCATGCATCAATCGAGGATGGCACTGTGAAATGGGAATCGATCATATGAAGTCGACCAGATCGACAATTCTTTTGAAGTCCCAAACACATAGCGAAGAGAGCGAGAAATCGGCGACGATAAGTCTAAGTTTTACATTATAAACTCAAAAATTAAGTAAAAACTTGTACATTAATAGTCTACATAATTTTATGGTACTTTCCTGTTATCGTGGCTGGAGGGCAAGATCCATAACAGGAAAATCGGCTTATTTTCAGGTATTCTTACGTGAAGAAAGCGACAATGTCGGCGTCAATGTGCGAAGGACAACTCCAACTTTTGCATGTGCTCTTTGCCCAGGTAAAGCCCAAACAAGACAGGTTACTAACAGGGGGTGCATACTATAGTTGGGACCCGCTAGTGCGTGGCACCCCCTAATGCGCCGTTACCCCCTGCACTTGCCTAGTTGGTCCACCAATCATGCCAAAAATCCCCCCTTTCGCGATAACAGAAAAGAACCAAGTTTATCATTATTTTACTTTGAGAAGAATAAGGGTCAAGAAGGCGTCCAGGGGCGAATAGGCGGCGAAAAGCATCGGCATGTAGAAGTCGCCTGGACCGGCGGTTAACCCTGAATCTCATCTCTAGAGACGTCATCTAGAGATTCTAGAGATATTTGATTTTATTTATTTAATAATTTAACTCTTATTTATAAACATTTAACTCACCAATCAACCAGCCCCAAACAAGCAAGAAAACAGGCAAAAATTCACAGAGCGCTGGAGAGAAAGCCTGAAAAGGTAAATAAATAAGTTTATATTCATAATTAACTACTATGCATCAATATTAATGTTCTGCTTAGTTGGAAGCTTAGTTAAAAACATTTTGCACTGATTAAAGTATTAATAATACAACTGATACATAAAAATTGTTTAGTTACGCACTGAATTCGTGAACGTTTTTGGGATTACATTGGGAATTTGGGATTAGCTTTATTAAGGGAATGTTATTTAAGATCTACCAAGCCAAGCCTGTTAGTAACCGGTCTTTTTTGAGCTTTACCTGAGCAAAGAGCACATGCAGAAGTTGAAGTTGTCCTTTGCGCATTGACGCTGACATTGTCGCTTTCTTCACGTAGGAATACCTGAAAATAGGCCGATTTTTCTCTTATTTCCTAAATCATTCATTTTATATATCTGTTCAGATGTCAAATTTTCAAGGAAAGCGTCATCGCCAATAGAGTTTTCTTCTTCAACTTTTGTAGCGATACAAGCTGTACCTTACTTTTTATAGTCCTAGAAGCTGATGGCCAATGAATTTACGATCAAATCAAGAGGAGATCAAAAACTTTGTAGCTTTAGCTTACTCAATTTTTGAGCATTTGGAACGGGACATTCTAATTCGACTCAAATTCTGTTTTTTCATAGCTTCTCGATAGCTTTCAAATCCTCAAAACTAAGAAAGAATTAAGTTTTCATGACTGAACTTTACTTTCCAAATATTTATAGTCATACAAGCTGTTCTCAATCCTTTTGTAGCTTCTTTTGTAGTCTTTTTAGTCTTCTTAGTAGAAGCTAGATGACGAAGAAACTTCCATATTTATAAAACCTTTGTAGTCAGCTCAGGTAGAAGCTTGAGCTAAGACAATTAAAGCCAAAAGTTCTGATTAAATGCCAATTCAATACTGTCACATATACATATGTATGTACTAGACAATAACAAGGCTTAAAGATAAACGAGGCTTATCAGCGATTAATGTGACAAAAACTCCGTTGCCAATGTTTTCCGCCGAAATATTTTTGTAATCAGCTGACTTTTTACTTATTAAACCACATTAGGCTCTTAACGAGGCCTCGTTGAGAGGTTAATATGCTCAAATATGTCTTTACTACTAACAACTTGATTCCAGTTCCACAAATCAGCGAGTAGAAAGCTCCACAAAAGGCAAAACAGCAAATGAGCGGCACGATGATTCCCCAAGAATAGTGCTCAATGCCATTCTTGTCTGGATACTGTAAAATTTTGGTAGATAAAACGTTAAACATTAAGTCTCTCACTCTGAACGTTGGTCCATAGTAATATTCGTTCACCGTTAAATTCACATTGAGATACGTTTGAACATCTTTCGATGAAAGAGTGATTCTTTCTTCACTTGGCTGAATTTCTTTTTGAACAATATTGAACTCTCTATCTTTGTACCTCCATTCCATAAACTCCAAAAACCACATATAGGGAAGAGACGGTGAAATGGAACACAGAAAGCGCTAAGATTCCCCACCACGTCTCGAAGAGATTTTTGAAGTTACTAAAAGAGAGATTCAAGATAGCGGGAAAATGCAACAATCGCCTCCATCTCAAAACGAAATTCAGCCAATCAAGTTATTACCCCCGATTGGTGGTGTGGGTGATTCTTGGTTAAGTTGGGCAGGCGAAATGACCGATGATCTCAAGATTGTTTTCAGATCCCCGTCTACTTACCCAGTGATTGCTGAATATCGAAAGAGGCAATGAACACCGAGGAGACTCAATGATTGGGCGACCGAATTGATGAACAGAGCCAATGCCCACCAGTTCACTTGGTACGGGGCTCGATTGGCAAAGGTTTTCGACACACAGACGAATCCCCATCGATCGATGAGCCACATCTGGAGTTATTAGATCGTAAATTAAGCCTTGACCTCTTCGAAATTTTGTTTAAGTTTAATAGGCGTGCCCTGTTTTTCTTCAAAATATTGGCTTATCAGTTTTTTTATTCAAAAGCACAACCCAGAAAGCCAAATGCTCTTTTATCTTTTTGATTGATTATTTATTATAATCATGAAATATGAAAAGTTAAAAAAGTGGTTCCAAGACTGTTTTGTCTTGAAACCAAAAATTTGCTGAGAGGAGAATCCGCCAATTGTCAGTAAAATGGGCGAAACTCATCGCAAATAATAGAGACTATTTCGATTAAAATTCTCTTTTTTGTTGATAAATATTTTTTTAAAATTGGGATCAAGACTTAGTTTACAAACTAATAGATATGCATACTTTGATCTGTCGAGATTAACTAGAGATTTATTTTTATTTGGAATATTCTGTTAGAATAATCTAGGCAAGATCGCTAGAGAGATCAAAACCCGATATACCCTGAAAAACTGGGCAATAGGTTTTTTGCTACCGGTTTTTTTGCGACCACTACCATTCCAGGTTAGAGTCTTCTTTCTGATACAGTGTTTACCGAGTTTTAAGCAGGATTGACAAAAAAGCCAGGTCATAAAAACAAATTCTGATCTGAGCTGCTGTTAAGGAGGACTTTGAAAAAGCCAGGGCAGGCCACGCAAATCCAGAAATTTAAATTTTTTTATTTTTCCAGTTCTTGTATCTGTTCGGATTTGGAAACGGAACTTAACTATTCATTTTAGGTTGAAAGTTGAGCAATAATTAAACAGCATACACTTTACCGGCTCGACGATCTGATGAATGATGGAAACGTAGATATTCAAGACGCAAATAATGATCAATATCGTTTTATAGCTTTGTTTGGTGGCTGTTCGATCGGTGGCAATCAGCACCAGTAACAGTAAATTCAAAAAACAGCCGATCAACGTCAAAAAAGCTGTGCCAACATCGTGAACTTGCATTTCATTTCCCATTATTATATAGATATTTTGAAGTTATTTGGGATTTAGGAGAGGACTTTTTGATTCAACTGAAGTTTTAAATTCTCCTTGACTTCTCCTTCTTCGTTGGCAATTTCCTTGTGCAAATTGTACCCGTTAATTGTATCATGTTGACTAGAACCGGTCGGATTAATGAGATTTGTTGAAAGAGGAAAAGAATGAGGAATCTAGAATTTTTGAAAAAGAAAAATGAAGGAAAACATGCGATTTGCTAACTACAAATTACTCGTCATTCACCATATTCATCCTTTGTTATAAAAAACATTCTACCCAGAATTTCCAACGATAAACATCGGAAGACCTTTGTGTTCTCTCAAATTTTACAGGCGATAGAAGGCGATAGGGTTAGGCAGAGAAATTAAATCCCATCCTACTCCACGCCGCCCATCCCGCCCCAGCCCTTAAGCTTTAGGCAACTTCTATGTTGCGAGGATGTTCATCAAGCAAGATGACGGCGACGGCTTCACCTGCAGAATCTACCCCGATATATATTCCGCGAAATCCGGCCATCTTTACGATTATTTATGGAATCATTATTCGGTGAACCACTGCGAATTTTTGAATGCATACTGCGAAGTAGAAAATAAACGATGCAATGGAGTTACGTTTGAAGGCTTTTGAAGGTTTGAAGGCCATATCTTTTGAAGGTTCTTGCACTAAATTATTTAATTACCATTCTCCTGAGAACTGGCGATTATTTGATGCTAAAGCGATGTTTGAAATTCTTTGAGTATTGCTTTCATTTCTTTGGAACAAGTTTATCTTCATGTTTTCTAAGATTAGCCTATGCTTCAGTGTGCTGAAAAATGCGAGGGACATTTTGCCAGTGTTGATACTTGACACGGTCATAGCAGGTTTGATGGCTTTTCAGAACTAGAGTATAGGGGGAATTTAAGGTGGCTTTCTTGCACATCAGCTTTCTGTTTCGTTGGCTTTTTGTTTTTAGGTAGTGAAGAGTTTTTGCTACACTTTGACAAAAATCCGACTCCTAGCTAATTTCACCTTTAATATCATTGCAATTTCTAAATATTTACCCCTAGTTCTTTCTTTGAGTGTTGAGAGTATGAGTTTAACAACGCTAGACCTCAGCGAGAAAAGAGCTTCTTCTCTGAATCCCAATCAGAAAGACAAAGGTTTTTGCTTAGGCGTTGATAGGCTTAGGCTTAGGCTTAGGCTTAGGATAGTTTGATCTCTCGAGTTAAAGGGCGCCCTCCTCTCCCCTCCTGCGCCCCCTCCGAGAACCCTGTAACAATACTGGGATCTATCTCTTAATCCTTAAAAGCAATATCGGAAACAACCCTGATAATTCGGACCGGAACTTCGAATCGCTTCCGAGTCATTGAAATGAACAATAAGACCATTGAAAATCATTCCCTGGAAACCGATTGAATACAAAAAGATATACAGCACTGGACAATGAAATATCATATTTGAAAAACGATCATCACTTTCGCGCGTCTGTAACTCTCTTGTCTTTGAGTTTAAACTATTAGTGTTATACATTTTCTGAAAGCTCTTTTCAAGGGCTACACAATGGTAATATTAATATTTAGAAATACGGTAAAGACAAGGGAGTTATAGACGCGCGAAAGTGACGATCTTTTTTCAAATATCATATTTCATTGTCCAGTAGTGTACATCGGAATTTGGTTACTAAAATTTAAGATTGTAATTCAATGAGTATTCAAGCATTGAGTCTGCATTTTGCTTTGATTTCTTTACAATAAGCTTCATAGATATTCTGAATTACACAAGATTTCCTGATCTATCCTTAAGTGACGGGATTGCTTTGATTGGTGAAACGGCGAATGATAAAGGTAAATGAATAAAATTTATATGAAAATTATATAATTTAATGAACTTTTCAGGTCAAGTGCTCATCGGACAGAATAAAATCGCTCTATTTCGGGGCAGAACGTTTCTCACAGCGTTTCAGCGTTTCAGCGTCACAGCGTTTCTCACTCACAAATTTCCAAGCTGCGGTAATGCTTTTGAAAATCGGAAAAGAAAGCTAGATACTATCATTCTTTAAACCTGGACAAGGATATCCAAAAATTTAAAAAGCTACGAATTTTATCTAGAATTTTAGATGCACTCACTCGTTTACCCCGGTTTATCTTGACTGGATTTTGGTATTCAATCAATGACACTCGGGGGTACTGCAGCAATGAATTGCAAGATGAATTGAAGCAATTAAAAGTCTTAAACTGATAATTCTCCCTCAAAGCTTTTTACAATAAATTTTTTTGATGTAAAATAAAGATTTAATTTGAAATGGAATAGGAATTCCGAATTCCCGTTGAACAAAAGATTTAAAGTTTCTCAAAAATCAATCAAAATCGTTTAAAACTAAAATAAACTAAAATGCCAGCTTTGAAAGTTTAAAAACAGAAAAATCCATCAAAAAGTCCAGCCATTTTTTTCCAATTTTTCAACTACGGCTCTCAATTTCCATGACAATGTCTCTAAGACAGACAAATTTCAATCCAAATTTAGATGAGAATTTGTTCGAAAGCTTTCATATTCATTGTGAAGATGCTGCTGATTGTATTCTTCCTGATCACCTCAACCACCTGTCAACCATACACATTCCAACAGAACCAGCCCATCAAAGCGAGTTTCCAATCGGCTTTATTCCAAGATTGTGCCCGTGGTTGTGTCGCGTTATCCACAAGTCAAACCAATTGTAAAGGATTTAATTTCACGGAACCAGGTTTTGGACTTTTTCATAACAAACAAGTAGACTTTAAGCTCAATCATTCGGCGAATATGGAACTAAAATCTCATGTTTTTACCCAACAAGCGGTCCATACGATTTTGTGCTCAGAAATAGTGATGTAAGGTGTCCAAATCCGGGTGCTGCGAACTTTTCATCAAATATTACACAACCCAAGACATGTCAAGCTGGATGGCAACTCTTTAATGGGGAATGTTACAGTGTTTGTTTTAATATTATATATTTAAAATTCAGTAGACAATTTTTATAGTTATCCATTGTAAAACCCAACCTATTAGGTGCAACCATATAGTACCAAGCTATGCGCAAATTTTGGTGCCACTGTTCCGCAAATTGGAAGTCTTGCCGAGAATATATTTATTGCAGGTAAAATTGAAATGTTGAGATCTTAGCTGAACAAGAACTAGAATTGAGAAGACTTAAAAATTGGAGATCAACATAGATATGCTGAACACGGGCTGTGAAATGGTTGGCACCTGGAATAAACAAACGGCTTTGATTGGTGGAACGGCAAATAATAAAGGTGAAACAATTGTTGTTGTGATTGTTGTGATCAAATTTTCTTAGCGCAAGTGTTTGTTGGAAACACCCAACAAATTGCCCCATTCTCGGCATTGCAACGTGCAGCCTCTGCAACGCGAAACCAGCTTGTGGTGAGATCAAGAGAGAGAATCGTTAAGTCAAGGCCAAAACTAACTATAGTCAAGTAAAGTAAAGAATAGCAAAGATTCTCTAGACCTTTTTGCTTCCTAGCAAACGTTCTAACCACTAATCTATCTTCTTGCCAGAGAAGAAAGAGGAAGGAGAAATGGCATTCACACACTCAACAATTATACTATGCAATTCGAAGTTTATCTGAAAAAGTAACCTTACTTGAACCAATTTTAGATGCACTCAAGCACGTGTACCGGTGATAATGCACTTGGATGGTGGTATCCGACAAATAAAGGCGTTGACGGTCTTCCATCAATGATTTGCAAGATGAACTGAATGCATTTTGAACATGGCAGCCGTTTTCTATAAAAGTCTTGCAATAAAGTTCGTAGTGCTGATTATTGATTGAACATTCTTGGGTTGTTTCAAAATTGATACCTTAACGTCTTTTATCTTTTAAAAGATTTAATAAATGAATTTGGAAACGGTAGTATGTTTGAGTTGAACTTTTAAAATTTGGGGCCGATTTGGAATCTTCAAAAAGTTTTTCTCTTTTCTATGTGATTCACTGAATCATTTCATTGTTTATTATATCAATGATGTAGTTTGAAATGTATAAAAGCGTTCTCAAGAAACTATATTGATGAATTTGGGGCTTTACCAAGACTTGGAACATTTCCGATTCGAGGCGGATTCGGGGCCGATTCAAGGCAAAGCAAAGCAAAGCCGTTGCAAAGCCGATTCGAGATCTTCAAACAGTTTATCTCTTTTCTATGTGATTCACTGAATCATTTCATTGTTTATTATATCAATGATGTAGTTTGAAATGTATAAAAGCGTTCTCAAGAAACTATATTGATGAATTTGGGGGCTTTTCCAAGACTTGGAACATTTCCGATTCGAGGCGGATTCGGGGCCGATTTGGCGTCGATTCAAGACCGTTGCAAAGCCGATTCGGGATCTTCAAACAGTTTATCTCTTTTCTATTTGATTCACTGAACCATTTCATTGTTTATTATATCAATGATGAACCTTTAAAAGATACAATCGCTTGAATGATTGATGTATTTTTGCCAGTTGCTAATCGTAAAATATTTATTTTAGTTTAAACATCACAGAAAGTGGGTGTCTGGCTTCCTGACAGTTTTCTTTAAAAAATTAGTTACATTTATTGTCATGGCTTTTACTATTAGGGGTTTGCAAAAGAAACTGCGTATTATACGCAACGTTCAAACACCTCGAAAATTAATAATAAAAGACTTTATTCCAAAAGGTACTCGCCAAAATTATCAACTATATTTTTCCATTTTTTTACGTAGACTTCGGATGCCTGATTCGAAAGATTCCGGATCTTGTGACGCGAAATAGTCTTGCACCCAAATTTCGACTTCTTGGTAATTGTTAAACTGTTGATTTGCAAGGGAGTGTTGCATAGATCGGAACAAGTGGTAATCTGAAGGGGCGATATCAGGGGAATATGGCGGATGAGGCAGAAGATTCCAGCCTAATTCTTCTATGGTGTTTTGCGCCAAGTTTGATGTGTGTACCCGGAAATTGTGAGCGAGTAAATGGATTGTCTTTGGATTAACACCTCTTTCTCGTAGAATTTCATCAACTTTCTGCAGCTGTTCGGCGTAGCTTTGAGAAGTTATAGTTTTTGAAGATTTTTGTAGTTTAAAATAAACGATTCCTTTCATATTCCAAAAGACCGACAGCATAACTTTCTTTCCGTGAAGTTCTGGATGTGATGTCGGAATCGGCCTTTCTCCTTTGCTCAACCATTGTCTTTTGCGTGTTGAATTATTGAAATATATCCACTTTTCGTCCATCGTCAACATGCTTTCAAAAAAAGCACTGCCCGTAGCCTTTTTCAATCGTTACTGAAGCCTCGTTAAGCCTCGTAAAAAACTTGAAGCCTCGTTAAGCCTCGTAAAAAAGTCTAGTAGGTTCGTCGGGTGTAAAAAATCCTTTAAAAAACAGGGAAGTAAATTTGGTTAAAATCCAAAAAAACTTTCTTAATCTCTTCTTAACTAGTTAGAGTATATGGTGGAAAAAAAGTTTCCCATAGATTGGGTTTGGTTTATAACAATTTACAACAATAGTAGTACTCTTAAATTGAACCAAAACTAGACAAATCTAACTTCAAGGATCATTTTTGTGTATGCATGTGATGGAAAAAAATTTTTAATGCTAAGATCAAGTTCTTATACATCAAATGTTTTACTAAGCCTTTTAATAATGATTGGGATTGCTTGAATGGTTGGGATTGCTTGGATGATTGAGATTGCTTGGATCATTGGGATTGCTTGAAAATCTTGACATTTTCTCAAAATTTTCTACTTTAGCGACTCCTCAGAAAGAGAATTATTCTATTTTTCACCGCGGTTATCTGTAAATTTCTCTCCGTAGTTGGCTGTGTTCTTCTAAGAGTCTGGATTAAGCAATTAATCAGATGAACTTCATGAACATATCATAATACTGTTTTTCTTTCAGAGGTTTTCTTTTCAACTGTTTAAATCGAGCGTTTAGACTCAACTGGATTTCTCGTTTCACGATTGTTAGCAACTTTAAATATCTTTGCGATTTGTTTTTTCAAGATACAGTTCTTTCCAAAAATACTTCTTTATTAAAAGTTTAAATATTAACAAAGATAAAAAACTGTTAAAGGTAAAGTCAAATCTCGCTTTCTTTTTGCATCTTTTTTGATCAGATTTTTTGCATCCAAAAGTTTTGCGGTCACCTGCAAGCTAAAATAATGCTGTTTGTTCAAAATTACTTCAATCACTCGCACAAAAACTAGCAACTCGTTCATTTGGCTCATTGTTTTTCCATAGAGTGCCTCTTTCTCATAGATGATCACCGCGTTCATGTTCTGCTCAAATTCCGTCACAAATTCTTCTGGAAATCGTTTTTGAATCGAATCAGACTCGGCCTTTAGTCGGCTCTCCTTCACTAAAGTCACATTTTCCGATTCTTCTAGATGACGACAAATTTCAGTATATTTTTGAACAGTGTGCGCATTTGTATCTTGCAAATTGCGAATCGCTCCGCTCCAGCGGTAAATTACCACTGTTCGATTTTGGGGCCCTCGTTCTAGAAGTGTATCGATGCCGAACAAGCACTGGTTAAAACTCGAAACGCGGTAGATTTTCATTGCTGAATGAATTTGAGATAAAAATTCATAACTGAAATTGAGGTTTTTTTTCAATTGCATGGCCCTCTGTAAAGGAGTGGAAGCGTTCGAAGTAAAAACGGGAACACGCCATTCGATTATTTGGCAGCTGTGAAACATTCCTCTTTCAAATTGTTCACTTATGACGTCTATACCCTCTTCGGTTCGCCAATTCAGCTCAAGTATTACCTTGTACTTGACGATTGGCGAAAAATTCATGAAAAGGATTTTCAAAAACTCAGGTAGATTTATGAGGACTTTGAATCTACTAACCTTAGATAGCAGAGGTAGGAAACCTTGACTGTGAAAAAAGCTTTGAATAAACCGCAACATGATGGGATAGAACCTATTTGTATTGTTCGAACTAAAGTATCCGAAGTCGAACTCTATAGAGTTGCAATCTTCAATAGTGTTCAATAAGTTCAAAGCTATTTCTCTTGTGATTAGCTTATCGGGGAAGAGGGTCATTTTTTTCCATTGAAAATATCTTCAATCACAGCTTTTTGCTCACTAATAGTGAAAACTCTTTGCGTTTTGTTTAAAAATTGCAAGTTTATGTTAAACAAGGGTTCGAACACAAGGCCCGGGTAATTGAAATCCAATTGAAGTCGGAATGACTCAATGCGGTTGGGGATCAGATTATACAAAGTTTCTTCGGGAAGTCCCACCTCAACAAGACTTTTAGCAGCCATTTGTCTGACCACGGCTCTCTTTTCGCTCCACTTGCTCTCATTTGTGGAAATATAAAGAAGCAAATCATTTTGCCATTCATGGTTATGTGGTAACGTCAAAAAGTGGAAAGTGAACAGTAGAACGAATAGCAGTAAAATGGTAAAAACAAACGTCACTAGTGACAAAACCAGTGTTAGTCTACGGCTATCGACCACACTCGTTGCAATCGGAAAAAAGTCCCGCTGAGGAATACTAGGTTGCCCGCATCTAGCATCAAAGAAATCGCCTGATGGCAATAGGCATTCCCTTGCATTTTCATTTGTGGGGATTTCCCCGATTTCCTTTTCCAAAGACTTTGAATCTATTTCTTCAGCAAAATCGTAACCGATTGGGCGAATAAGGATATCTTGGTTTGAGTCGATCTTTGGCAAAAACTCCAATGATTGAATTAAAGTGTTCATCTAATTTTGATCATTTTTCGTTTGACTTTTCAATAACCTCATCTATTTCCACAAATCGATTCAATACGTCTTTCGCCAATGGTCTGGATCGACGCTGAAAGTCAGTGCACCTAAAACAGAAGGAAATGAACATCTTTCCAGAACAAACCTCCCAACGATGTCCTGAATCTTCTCTTGGCAACGTGGCAAACTCAATCGAGGCAACTTTTTGCGGAGAATATCGGAGATAAGCGCATCTCGATTAAAACCATTTTCGTCATATTGAGCAAAGACAAGCCTAAAAATTTTTTTTAGAGGTGAAAATTCCCTTAACGTCGAACTCTCTTTCGATAATCTCCCAAAGGACAAGGCCTAAGCTGTAGACATCATTTCTGTGGGAATCCTATTTTAGAATAGAAACTTTTTTATATATTAAACTCAACCTGAATATCGCCCAACAAAAGCTCATTCGTTAGTGCAAGACTCATATATCGCGCAGTTCCAACAAAAGAACCCGTACAAGTTCTTTCGATTACTTTCCCTAATCCAAAATCTCCGATCTTCAGATGAAAATCATTTGCCACAAAGATACTAAATTAATTATTTCCATCGCTAAGCGTCTGATTTACTTCATCAAATTGATGTCCCGATGTACGAGTTGATGCTTTGTGTACATGTGATCAAGAGCATCAAATAGCTGTTCACCCCAAATGACGACAGTCTTCATTGAATAGATCATAAATGGATCAAAGATTACTAGAAAAAAGCCTTTTTATTTAATTTGTTTTATCTTAAAAACTTTGTTTTAGTGATCCTCGTTGGCAATATTCCATCACAATTCCGAAATTTCCTTGTTTTTCTCCAGTATACAACACTTGTACAACATTTGGATGCTCTATTTTCTTCAAGATTTCGTATTCTCTTTCCAATTCAGCAGTTTTTCCGCTACATAAATACTTGATGACTGCTGGACTGTAAATAAATTTTGAATAGAAAAAGTCTTAAAAAACTCACGGTTCGTGTCCAACTAACTCATAGACATCTCCAAA